CACACCAGACTTTCCTCATGGAGTTATGTCCTAGTTGAAGACAGAGAAGCCAAAATTAATTTTTTAAAACAGTTAGGTGGTGGTAGGTGGTGGTATCAGCTATGGAGAAAAATACAGCCGGGAGAAATGACATGCATAGGAAGTGCTGGGGTGGGGGGGCTCAGGTAGGGGTTACTTTGTTCCATGGGATGGTCAGGCAAGGCTGCCCTGATCAGGGATCATCTGAGCAGAGCCCTGAAGCTGGTTGAAAGGGATGAGCCGTATGGTTGTCTAGAGGGTAGACTACAATGCAAAGCTCTGAGAGATGAACATGTTATAAGTTATAGTGGGCAATACAATAGCCAATGGTCCTGGTGGCACCATGCATGAGTTCTGGGCTGCCAGCTAAAATGTTTGTGATTCGAGTCCACCAGTGGCTCTGCAGGAGATAAGACCTGGTGATCTGATGATCACAGCCTAGGACTTCCCATGGTGCAGTTCTACTGTTATATAGTGTCACTATAAGTCAGAATCGACTTGACCCAGCACCCAACAACAACAACCATGTAGCCAAACTTAGCTGGAGTATGATTTCAAAGACAGTTATTTTTTTAGAACTTCCTTTTTTTCTGTTGTACATTTATAATTAATTTCTCAATATTGCAACTCGAGGCTTAAATTTTTTCTTCAGTTCTTTCAGTTTGAGAAATGCTGAGTGTGTTCTTCCTTTTTGTTTTTCAGACTCCAGGTCTTTGCACATTTCATTATAGTAATTGGCTCTGTCTACTCGAGCTGCTCTTTGAAATCTTCTGTTCAGCCCTTTTACCTTTTCATTTCTTCCATTTGCTTTAGCGATTCTCCGCTCAAGGGCAAGGTTCAGAGTCTCTTCTGTCATCCACTTGGTCTTCTCTTCTTTTCTTGTCTTTTTAGTGATCTCTTGCCTTCTTCATGGATAATGTGGCTTTCGGTCGTTGGTATTCAATGCATCAATGATGATGGGCTCAAGTATAGCAGGGATTATGGGGCTGGTGTGGGATCGGGCAGTGTTTCGTTCTGCTGTGCATGGGGTCGCTATGAGTCGGAAATGACTCGACGGCACTTAACAACAACAACAACAACATTTAAAATGGTTTTCTTAAACATTTACTTTATTTATTTATTTTTTTACTTTCTTATTCCAGACAGTAGAATATAATAGAAACAAATGTTTTTGCCTTTAGGTTGGAGTAGAAGCAGGGCAAGGATCTCTGGCAGTTTGAACCCACCAGCCATTCCACAGGAGAAACACGAGGCAGTCTGCTTCCATGAAGATCTACAGTCTTGGAAACCCTGTGAATTGGTATTGACTCAATGGCAGTGGGTTTGGTTTGGTTTTGGTTTAGAAGTAGGGCCTGGAGTAAACTTCTTCCAAGGAGTTTGTCACTCTGACTTTTTGGTTCGCTTCCTTACTATCTGAGTGGAGCAGATGGGTAAGTGCTCAACTGCTAAAAGGTTGGCAGTTCAAATTCACCCAGACATGCCTCAGAAAAAAAAGGTCTGGCAATCTGCTTCCTGAAAGTCACAGCCTAGGAAACCCTATGAAACAGCTCTACTCTGCACATGTTTGGTTGCTATGAGCAGGAATCGACTCCAGAGCAACTGACAACAGCATCGCCCCTGATATCTTACTGGAGAAGGTCACTGGACAGACCCATTGGACACACAGCTCTTGCCTTCTGAGAAGGAAGCTTTACCCCTGTGACATATTTCCTCCCCCATATTTTATTTCAGTGAGTTTATCCATGTCGAGATTTCAGGATAAAAGGTAATATAATAAAAGTAGAGTCAGAAAAGGAGACAACCAAAATGATACCCCAGAAGGTGTGCTTTCTAATGTGAGAATAATGAGGAAAGTTCACTTTAGCAACAACACCAAATGTCAATTGTGTTAGGAGCATCATTTATTTTGCATGATTATATCCCTTTGAATTTGCTGAGCCTGGGCTTAAATGAGAATATGAAGTGACCAGGGCAACTGGAGTTGTTTATGACATCATAGAAGTTAGTGGCCGTGGGGCTCCAGAAGCCACACTAGAGTCTGGGAACCCTGAAATAGTTTGGTAGTTAAGGTTGTGTGCCAAGTTGGCTGGGCTGTGGTTTTGAGATTGTAATCACCTGCATGGTGGAATGTGCTGTGAGCAGCTAAACGGTTGAAGGGGAGTTACCTTCAGGGGTGGCCTGCTTCCGGGACATATGGAGAAGCTTTGGGAAAGGTCTCTAGCTTTTTGGCACATTTTGGATCCTGTGTTTGGCTGAGTATTCATCTCCAGTTCTGGGGCTTGAACCAGTGGCCTGCCATGTTGCCTGCTGATTTTGGGGTTGTGTCATTTTATCTGCTGATCTTGTGTTCGTCAGCCTCAACAGCTAGCAGCTGTGTGAGATAGGAGCCAGCTCCAGCTCCAGTGGGCCTGGAACAAGAGGCAGAGCTGAAGCCCAAGGTCAAGCAGTCTTCACCCAGCCCCTAGAGCTGGCACTCTGAATTCAGACTTCTAGCCTCCTAAATTGCAAGAGAATAAATTCTTGTTTGTTGAAGCCATCCACTTGTGGTATTTCTGTTATAGCAGCACTAGAGAACTAAGACAGCTGGTAACCATCTTGGCCTTCTTCAGACTCTCTAGGTCTAGGATGATCCTAGACAGAGCCAAACCTTGAAAACTACTTCCAAGATAAAATCTTAAGATCTGTCCCACTTAGTCAAGTAACCCAGATTCAGGTCATGGGTCATCCCCCCTATTACATCTTTCTAATCCTTTTACCATGGTATATTTACCTGTCTATATTTAAGGAGCTCTGATGGTACAGTGGTTCAGGCATTTGCCTGCCTACCAGGAGGTTGATGGTTTGAACCCACTGCCTGCTCTACAGAAGAAAGATGAGGCAGTCTGCTTCCATAAAGATTTATAGCCTTGGAAACCCAATAGGGGTCACTAAGAGTCAGAATTGACTTGATGGCAGGTAGTTTTGATTTAAGCACTAAAATGAAGTAATCATTCCCCTAAACACTTGGAAGTATGGTATGAGAACACTCTCTGCCTGTCCTACAGAGAATGAATGTTGTTTTTAGTTGTCATGGAGTGGGCTCACGTCCATGGCGATCTCACGTACAACAGAACAAAAGGTTGCTGGTCCTCATCATCCTCATGATCACTGGTGTGTTTGAGTCTGGTGTTGTGGCCTCTGTGTGCTTTCCAACCCAGGGGCCCGCCTTCCAACCCAGTGGCTCGCCTTCCAGCCTAGGGGCCCGCCTTCCACCTCTGGATCAGACAGTGTTCTGTTGTGAAGTGTACAGTTGTCATCGGCTGAATTTTGGAAGTAGATCACCAGACCTTTTTTCCCCTAATCTGTGTTGTCTGAAAGGCTCTGCTGGAACCTGTCCACCATGAGTGACCTTGCTGGTATTTGAACTAACAGTGGCCTAGCTTCCAGAATCACAGCAATATGGAAGAAACCATAGTATAACAAACTGATAGATGGATGGTGCAATCTGTACATGTTGTTGTTGTTGTTACGTGCCGTGGAGTCAGACCCAACTCATAGCGACCCCTCCTTGGGTTTCAGAGGCAGTATCACTACGAAAGTAGATTGCCCAACCTTCCTTCCAAGGAGTGGCTAAAGGTAGGAGTATGGATGATTTTTACGTGCATATTTCCTTACATCATCTATTCCGTGAGCTCTACAAGCTTTATCTTTTTTTTTTTTTACAAAGCATATTTTTTTAATGTTAAAAAGTGAAAGTTGTGACACCTTTTGAATCAGTGTATTGTTTTGACATCATTCTTTTATAAACGGGATTGAGAAAATTTGCCATTTGATGGGGGGAACATCAGATCTGCTCCACATTTCACATAATAACCAAAGTTCCTCTGACTGCATCATCCCACCTGTGGGGATCTAGCCTCAGGAAATTAGCCGACATGTCTCCAATGCTTTACTCCCAGTTATGTTCCTGGAAGTGTTATTTCTTTAGAATAGCTGCAAACTGGAAACAACCGAAATGTCTAAGAGTGCGATAAGCAGTGGAATAAATTATATCCATAAGACAGAATATTATAAAGTCATCAACAATGTTGTTTAGTGTAAAGAGAATTCTAAAAAGAGCTTTTACAACTGTGTATAGAGGCTGGTTTTATGGTATCAAGTTCTAAAATGATGATATGTAGCCGTCTATGCAGTGTATTACAAATCTGTATGCACAGAGGGGGTCGGAGGACAAAGCACTGGGGTGTAGGATCTTGACTGCTGGGGATACAGGTGATTTACATTCCCTTAGACACAGACCGTCCCCAGTTTGTGAACATCCGATTTAGATACAACTCATCGTTATGAACTCAACCCTACAAAGCCTAATGTGTTAAACATTTGAGGTACATACAATGGTTCATAATAACACACAGGTGCCAGTTTGTGACCACCTCAAAACATTATTATTACTATATCATTATGTTAAAGAAAAGGAGCTCTGGTGGCATAGTGGGTAAGGCATTTGGCTGCTAACCACACGTTTGGTGGTTTAAACCCACCTGCTGCTCCATGGATGAAGATGAGGCAATCTACTTCTGTAAAGATTTACAGCCTTGGAAACCCAGTGGGAATCGACTCAATGGCAGTGGGTTTGGTTTTGCTTTTGGATTATGTTAAAGATGTTTTAGTGCATCTAGAAGTGTTTCTTTAATGTATTTTATGCACAGGAAGGTACGTGATGTACTACATAGTATATGAAGACAAACATTTGCCTAACCGACATTAGATAGGAATCGTACCTAACTGTTCGGACTTTAAAACAGACTTAGGAATGGAACTCATTTGTAGTGTGCCTGTGTAGCTTTTTTTTTTTCCATTTTTTTACAATGAGTATATTTTATTTTTATAATGACAAAGTTATTTTTTTAATGAAGTCACAGAATTTGAAAAGTTCATTATAAATATAATTGATCAATGCCAACCCAAAGTAAATATATGAAGAATACAAATACATAGAGATCATGTCCAGGTGAGTACCAGGCACACTCCATGCAATCTGACAGGTACTAATGAAAATGCCTGCTGTTTCATTGTTGATACGTCAAACTCGCAAAAGAAAACAAGAGCTGACAAAAGCCCTGGGTATCACTGCCATGAAGTTATTCATGCATTTAGCACCAGGATGTGTTTTGCACATGGTTACCATGTGTGTTTCGTTGGCCGTAATCAGTCTTCAGAACAAGAGCAGATTAGGTGGGCTGTGCTACCACGGCTGGAAACTGCGCGCCCCCAGAGCTGGCTCCTCCCTCTGCTATGTGGTCAGTCCTACTTAACCAGGTCACAGAGTACCCTCTGCTCAGATCCGTGTCTACACTGACCGTGGCCACCTTCGTGGAGCTCAGCACCAAAGTCAAGATGCCCATCCTGGGCCTGGGCACCTGGAAGGTAAATATGCACGTGTGTGGACACCTGCCTCCCTCGGGGGCTCTTCAGCAGAGGAGCCCTGCTGTCGAGTGGGGTTCGGGAAGGGAGTCCTCCCCCCGCCCTGAAGCCAGGAGCTGGTGCTCCCCCCTCTGCAGCAGACTTAGCCTCCAAAGCTCCAGGGCTGCTTTTCCCAGCATGGCCAGAACTTCCTTTTCAGGATCGAGTTTCAAGCAGATATTGGGCTGACAAACAGTTGTTTTCCAGGGCAGTTTCTCTACCAGACTTCCCTCTTCTCACTGCTCCCTGGCTGTGGGACCTTCATAGGGGCTCCACACTGTGTGTTTGCTGTGAGGTGGATGGATGGTTTGGGGGGGTGTATGGAGGAGCTCAATCCTGTGGCCCTGGCTGGACACAGTATGGTCCTGGGAGATGGTTAGAAATACAGGCTGCTGGGCCAGGGCAGGCCTTTTGCATTGGAATCTGCATTTGAACAAGATCTGCAAGGGTTCCAGTGCAGGTCAAGTCCCAGAAGTGCTGCTTCCCTGGAGGGTGGCCCTGTGCCTGGGCAGTGAATTCGGCTGAGTTGGGCTCCCTGGGTTGGGCCAGCACCAGCTGGGCTGGGCCAACATCTTTGGTGAGTACACGTTTTATGTGCTGGGGCTCCATGAAGAGGTCCGGGTACCTCTCTTAGGCAAACAATCTTAAATTAGAATGTTTTGGTGTTGTCTTCTAACTCTGCCTTCGGCCTCCTATCTCATTTCCATGCTAACCCAATGAGTTGTTGTTAAGTGCCATTTGGTCGACACAGGACCTGCCCTCTAGGATTTTCTAAGCTGTAAGCTTTACAAAAGCTGACTTCCAGGTCTTTCTCTTGAGGAGCTGTTGGGTGGGTTGAGCCTTTGGGTGGGTTCAAACACTAGCCTTTCTACCTTTCGGTTAGCAGCGAGTGCTTAACCATTGTGCCAGCAAGGATCCTTACTAGGAAGAATCTTGATTCTTTCTTCTCTGGTGTGCTTAATTCTTTCCACTGTCCTTCCCAGCTCCTCTGCTGATGAGGGTGACAGCCTGTGGTCCCAGCACTGGGTGTTCCCAGGAAGCGCACTGGGCCCGTTGGGGGAGTCGATGGCTTCCAGCTGGTTCAGCAACAGCATCTCTTGCTGGGACAGGGCTGTTTTATCCCAAGTCAGAGCCTGGGCCTCCACAGAAACGTGGCAGCGAATGGCTCTGGGTCTCCAGGGCCCCTGCTCCCCCAGATCAGTGACGGAACCTTGTTTTCAGCACCAGAGCTGAGCACTGTGGAGAGAACTCTTTCAGGACCTGGTGATGGTGCCATTTCCAAGGTTCTGAACTTATCAGTAGAGATGTGGGAGGGGGGCGAGCGTGGGAGAGGACAGCTGCACTTTCTGTTGGTCTACTTGTGGTGGGATTGTTTTCTCTTTCACAGTAGAAGATGTTTAAAAAAGATGTTGTGGAAGTCCAGTACAAAGATCTTTTTTCTTTCCTCTTTGTTTATATTGCTTGGATTGACCAGGCTCTGCTACAATGTGGTATTTCCAATGCTATTTCCACTTTTCCACTGGAGGGGGAAAGGAACCTCTATTCTTTCAAGGTTGTCTTCTTCTCTCCTGCAGAGCCCTCCTTCGACCTTGTGCTGACAACTTTCTGTTCACTGTGGCCCTTTACCAATCCAACCACCCCCTCAGGCAGGTACTGTTATCATTCTCAATTTGGAGAGGAGGTTTAGAGAGATTAAGTAATCTGCCCAAGGCTAAACCCCTACAGGTGGTGGAGCCTGGATTTACCTGAACTGACATTATTATGAATAGGAATCCACTCAGTGGGTTTGGACATTCTTATAAAAGGTGCCCTGATGGCGCAGTGACTAAAGCACTCAGCTGCTAACCAAAAGGTTGGTGGTTCAAACCAGAAATTTCTCCCCTGGAGAAAGATGTATGTAACACTCTGCTGCTGTAGCTGATAATCTTGAAACCATATGGGGCCTTTCTGCTCTGTCCTGTGGGGTTGCTACAACTTGGAATCATCTTGATGGCAGTGGGTTTGACCTTCTTACAGCCCCACCACTGTTAGGAGAACTTTTCTGCTAATCCTTCTGGGTCATTTCACAGGGTAGTTTCAGCCTAGTCTTTACAAAAGGGGGCATGAGGAGCCGTGGGTCACCTCCTATTTATAAAGGGAGATGAGGACCCAGGGGTCACCCCATCTTTATACAGGGGTAGGCACAAGAAGCCATGGGTCACTGCATCTTTAGAAAGGGGGGTCCATGGGGCTGTGGGTCACCCCCACTCAGCCCTAGCATGCCTGGAAGGTTAACCTGGATGAAGTTGGGAAGGATGGGACATGAGCCATGATGACAAAGCCAATCTACTTTCCTTCCTTCCTCCTTTAAAACATTCTCCAAAGTTCTCTGCCTATTGTCCCTTGGAAATTGGGGTCCCAGCGAGGCCCTGGTTTGGAGAGGTGGGCCATGGAGGGGGTCCCTGAGGTGTGGTGGCCTGGGGTTGAGAACATGTAACGGTCCGTTCCTTCTCATTCTTCTCCAAGTCAAGTCGAAGAGGCTGTGAAGGCAGCTATTGACATGGGGTACCGCCACATTGACTGTGCCTTCATGTACCAGAACGAGAGCGAGGTGGGGGACGCCATCCAGGAGAAGCTCCAAGAGAAGGCTGTGAGGAGGGAGGACCTCTTCATCGTCAGCAAGGTGCCCAAGGCCCGTGGGGTGGAAGGGAGGCTGAATCACAGAGCAGCTGGAAGTGTTTGGAAACTGCAGGAGCTTTTTTTTTTTTTCCTTTAATTTCCTCCTATGGATTTCATTCTCTTAAAAGATGCGTGAGAAATGTTCTTTAAAAAAAGGGGTGTGTTGGTCTGTAGGGTCGGGACTCACTAGACTGGTATCATGCACACCTAGCTAAAACACAAGCATTTGTCACCCAGTGCACAGACCCCGTGTGCAGTGCTAAGTCAGGACGGACTCTATGAGAAGCCAACAGTGAGCCTGGCAGCAGGTAGATGTGGGCTGCAGAAAGAGGAAGTTCTGGCCCTGAGGCCTAAGAACTTGGAATCTGAGTTACACATGATCCCTGCTCTCAGGGAGCCTACAGCTGAGGGATGAATGACACAGGGAAGAAAGTGTGGGATCAGGGACCAAATATGCCCACTGACATGAAGGACCCATAACATCCTGGGAGAGCTGAGCAAGTAAATTGCCCTCAACACTTAGGAACTATCCTCGACTTGCTGAGCCCTAGGGCCGAGCTGGCCAGGGTCATCGGGCTGAACCACCTTGCCTGGAAATAGCCCAGCCCCGGTTAGATCCAAGAGCAGGGCAATGTGGATGCTGGAGCCTTCTGTCTCAGCACTGACCCTGGCTCTTGCTCTCTGCAGTTGTGGTCTACCTTCTTCGAGAGGCCCCTGGTGAAGGAAGCCTGTTTGAAGACCCTCAAGGATCTGAAGCTAGACTATCTTGACATCTACCTTGTTCATTGGCCACAGGGGCTGCAGGTGGGAGTTACTACCCATCCTATCTCTCGTTCCTAAGCAGATCCCAGAGAATATCCAGAGCCAGCTGCTCAGTGGGGCTGCTAAGGAGGGAGTGTGTTCCCTTCTTACTTAGGAACTGCAGGTGGTCAGGAGGCCGAGATGGGGCAGAGGGCTGGGCTGTCAGAGAGGCCAAGGCCACGGCTGCAGAGCTGGCCATGTGCTGGGTCTTCTCTCAGTGATGCCTGCAGGGGGCATGGCTTCTGGCAGTTGACAGAGGCTGCGGCTGCCATGTTACCTATGTGACAGTCCCATACCATGGACTTTTCTCCCAGGAGAATGCTTGGGGACTCTGCTTACCAGTACTTCGGGGTTCAACCCTCTTGTAATCAAGAAGCACACCCTGGGTGTGACATCTTTGTACAAAGCCCAAGTGCATTCTTGCTGGAAGGTGGCCTCACTGAAAACCTCGCAGTTCTCACTGAAGACCCAGCATGCCTGTCCTGCCCTCCCCTCCTGCTCCTGAAAGGTGGGAAGGGATCTGATGTCCCACCCTTTCACTTCATGTCCCACGGGTAGCAATTGGCGCCATCCTCCCTCCAGGCCTCCTGAGCCTGCAAAAAGAGAAGTGTGCCGATGTCTTCTCCAGAAATGCCACTCTTGTGATGGAACTTGTCTGCTGCTCTTGAAATTCAAGTTTATCTCCAAGTGTATAGGGGGCCTGGGTATATGGCTAATGATGGATTCTAAAACAGGAGGATTTACTTATGAGAGAAGATTAGATTAGAGATTTTATTTAATCTCACATTCTTGAAGTTTGCAGCCTGGAGTCTGAAAAGGTAAAAAGCAGGTGGGGTTGTTTAGTTGGTGAGGGAGGTTCAGAAGACTAGAACCTCCTGAACAAAAACTCAGGGTCTGGAGGGTGATTCCAGTTTTTGTTTTGCATTTACAGCCGCAGAAGGAAATTCTCCCCAAAGACGAGAAAGGCAATGTCCTCCTCAGTAAGACAACATTCTTGGATGCCTGGGAGGTAGGTTCCAGCTCTTTCTAAATTGAAACTTCCCTTCAGTGATCTAAGCTGCTCCTCACTGGCATGAGAGAGCCCAGGTACCTGACACTGTTCAATGTCCTCAGTGTCATCTGTACTTCTTCCAGCTCCTTCCAAATCACCTTGGCTTCTTTTTTTCTACCACTGTTGATATTTCCGAATGCTAAGATGGAACCCATAAAATAGAAGAGAAATATGATGTAGCCTACTTTAAGAGATGCACACATACTGTTCTTCAACCAGGGGAGAAGGATTTGAGCAGAGGTTTTAGCCTGGGATTGCATGAATTAGCTGAGCACCCTGGGGGAAGTTAGGTAACTTCTCTGGGCCTCACTTTCTCCATCTTTAACAAAATTTTGATAATGTTATTAAGTGCCATTGAATTGGTTCCGTCTCACAGTGAGCCTGTGTACAACAGAAAGAGACATTGCCCAGTGCTGCACCATCCTGAAAACGGTTGCTATACTTGATGCCATAGCTGCAGCCACTGTGTCAAATCCATCTCATTGAGGGTCTTCCCCTTTTTTGCTGACCCTCTACTTTACCAAGTATGATATCCTTCTCCAGGGACTGGTCCCTTCTGAAAACATGACCAAAGTAAATGAGATGAAAGCTGGCTGTTCTCGTTTCTAAGGTGGATTCTGGCTGTATTTCTTCCAAGACAGATTTGTTTATACTTTTGGCAGTTCACAGTATATTCACTTTTTTTTTGCCAATACCATAATTCAAAGGCCTTGATTCTTGTGCAGTCTTATTCATTGTCCGGCTTTCACATGTATATGAGACTATTGAAAAGACAATGGCTTGGGTCAGTTGCACTTAGTCTTCAAAGTGACATCTTTGCTCTTTAACAGTTTTTTTTACAACAGATTTGCTCAGTGCAATACATCCTTTGATTTCTTGACTGCTGCTTCCATGGGCGTTGTGGTAGTTAAGGCTGTGTGTCAACTTGGCTGGGCCTGGTTGAGTGGCTGGGCAGTGGTATTTACTCCCCATGATGAGACTGGCAGTCAGCTCCATGGTGGGATCTACCACAAGCAGCTGAGTAGCTGCTTTAGGGATGTGGTCTACTTCCCGTATATAGGAAGCAGCTTTGGGAATGGTCTCTAGCTTATGGCACGCTTGAATCCTGCACGTAGCCGAGTTGTTCATCAGCCTGCCATGCTTTGCTGATCTTGGGACTTTCAATGGACTTGGATCAATGGCCTGCCGTGTGGTTTGTTAATATTGGGACAGTGCCTTTTCACTTGTTGACCTTGAATTTGTCGCCTCAGCAGCTAGCAGCTGCCTGAGTGAAGAGATGCCTCTAGCTTCAATGGGCTGGGAAGAAGAAGCAGAGCTGAAGCCCAAGGTCGAGGGACTTTGACTCAGCCCCTAGAGCCTGGCACTTTGAACTCAGACTTCTAGCCTCCAAAACTATAAGAGACTAGACTTCTGTTTGTTGAAGCATCCCATCTGTGGTATCTTCTGTTAGAGCAGCACTAGGTAACCAAAACAGGCGTTGATTGTGGATGCTAGCAAAATGAAATTCTTGAGAACTGCAGTCTTTTCTCCATTTTTCATAATGTTGCTTATTGGTCCTGTTGTAAGGATTTTTGTTTTCTTTATACTGAGATGTAAACCATATGGAAAGGAGCTCTGGAGACATAGTGGGTAAGGCATTTGTTTGCTAACCAGAAGGTTGGCAGTTCAAACCCATCAGCTGCTCAGTGGGAAGAAGATGAGGCAATCTACTTCCATAATGATTACAACCTTGGAATTCCAACAGGGCTTGCTACAAGTCAGAATTGACTCAGTGACAGTGGGTTTGGTTTGGTTTTTGAAAGTTGTTGTCTTTGATCTTCATGGGTAAGTGCTTCAGGTCATCTTTACTTTCAGCAAGCAAGGTTGTACCATCTGCATATCTTAGATTGTTAATGAGTCTTCCTCTAATCTTGATGCCACCTCCTTCTTATAGTCCAGCGTCCCGGAGTATTTGCTCAGCATACTGATTGAATAAGTATGGTGAAAGGATATGGTCCTGATGCACATCTCGTTTTAAACCATGCAGTATCCCCTTGTTCTGTTTGAGTGACCGCCTTGTGGTCTATGTAGAGGTTCCTCATGAGCACAATTAAGTGTTCTGGAATTGCTGTTCTTCACAGTGTTATCTGTAATTTGTTATGACTCACACAGTCAAATGCTTTTGCATAGTCAACAAAACATAGGTAAACATATTTTTGGTATTCTTTGCTTTCAACCAAGATCCATATGACTTTAGCCATGATATCCTTGTTCCATGTCTTCTTCTGAATCTGGCTTGAATCTGGCAGTTTCCTGTCAATGTATTGCTGCAACTGTTTTTGAATCATCTTCAGCAAAATTTTATTTGCATGTGGTATTAATGATATTGTTCAATAATTTCTGCATTCTGTTAGATCACCTTTCTTTGGAATAGGCATGGATATGGATCTCTTCTAGTTGGTTGGCTAGGTAGCTGTCTTCCAAATTTCTTGGCATTAACAAGTACTACCAGCACTGCATCAGTTTGTTGAAACATCTCAATGCGTATTCCATCAATTCCTGCAGCCTTTTTCTTTGTTTCCAGTTCCTTCAGTGCAGCTTGGACTTCTTGCTTCAATACTTTTGGTTCTTGATCATATGGTACCTCCTGAAACCTTTTTGGTACAGTGGCTTTGTGTGTTCCTTCTTTTTTTTTTTTTTTATGCTTTTCTGCATGATTCAATATTTTACCTATAGACTTCTTCAATATTTCAACTCAAAGCTTAATTTTTTTCTTCAGTTCTTTCACCTTGAGAAATGCCAAGTGTGTTCTTCCCTTTTGCTTTCCTAACCCCAGGTCTTTGCATATTTCATTATAATAATTTACTTTGTCTTCTTGAACTGACCTTTGAAACCTTCTGTTCAGCTTGTACTTCATTTCTTCCATCAGTTTTAGTTACTCTCTGTTCAACAGCAAATTGCAGAGTCTGACTCATGGCGACCCCATGTGTTACAGAGAAGAACTGAGCTCCATGGGGTTTTCTTGGCTGTAATCTTTACAGAAGCAGGTCACTTGCCTTTCCACCATGACTCCAGTGGATAGGTTCCAATCATTGACTTTCAGTTGGTAAGGAATGCAAACCATTTGTATCACCCAGGGACCTATACTATTGTATCCTCATGCACATGCTAACAGAACAAAGTGGGTGAACAAGCTGAGAGTGAATAGCGAGAGGAAAACTCAGTTCAATGTGGTCTTAGCTTGTTGTGTATGTATTATGGTTTTGTGTTGTATTGTACAGCTTGCAAATGTATGATGCCTAACCTTTCTGAAGAGCTTAGGGTTGATATAATTAAATTAAATGTAACTTAATTAAATCTGATGACTCAAAAGTTGATATTTATAACACAACCTTCCTGCTGCTTTGAATGTTAACAATTAGCAGCAAGAATATTTAGAATCAAATTTGACTTGATAATGAAAGGATAGGAAAAGGCATCATCTGGTAATGGTAACATTAGCAATCCTGTAAATCTGAGTATTTGAAGGGAATTATCTTTGGCAAAGGAATGCTGGTGGTATAGTGCCTAAGGCATTTGCCTGCTAACCAGAAGCCTAGCAGTTCAAACCCACAAGCCACTCTGCAGAAGAAAGACTGGGCAATCTACTTCCATAAAGATTTACTGCCTCAGAAGGTTGTGGTCACTTCTTGGCCACAGCCAGCTACCCAGAGGGAATGAGTAGTTGGACCTGTGGGCTTGGGACCATAGTCTCAGGGAACATCAAGCTCAGTTGACATAATATACTACACAAAAACATTATTCCACTTTCTACTTTGGCAAGTAGTGACTGGGATCTTAAATGCTTGCAAGCGGCCATCTAGGTGCAACAATGGATCTCTCCTAGTCCAGAGCAAAGAAGAATGAAGAAAATCAAAGACATGGAAACAATTTGTCCAAGCAATTGGTACACCATGTGATCCTCAGCCTATACAACTATGAGACCAGAAGAACTAGATGGTGCCTGGCTACCTGTAAACCACTCAGAGGGGGATCTCTGTAGGAGATCCTGGATAGAGTGGGAGAACAATGTGGAACAAAACTCAAAATCATTAAAAAAAAAAAAAGACCAGGTTTGCTGGTCTGATGGAGCCTGATGCAACCACTGAGACGATGGCCTGGAGTTCAGGCCTGGAACTTCAGGTCTGGAATGGAACCCACTCCTGGGGCTTTCAGCCAAACAAAAAACAAGCATATGAACTGAACATTTGCATTAGGTAGATACACTCCTTGGAGAGATCAATCATGGGAGAACAGAAGGGCTGTATATGCACAGGGAGACAGCTCATGGGAGGGAAGGATACAGGGAAGAGGTAACAACGGGGAGGAAACGGGAGAGGAGCTATTGCATTGTGATAAATTGTTTATGTCATGAGACAAAGTGTATGTGAGGTGCTGTATGGAAAGTGAATTTGCTCTGTAAACTTTCACCCAAATCATACACATATACAAAAAAGATTTACTGCCTCAGAAACCCAAAAGGGGTCCCCATGAGTCAGAATTGATACAATGGCAGCGAGTGGTTTTTGATTTGGTATCTTTGGCAAAGATCCCTGGTGGCACATTGGTTAAGTGCTTGGCTGTTAACCAAAAAGTCAGTGGTTTGAATCTACCAGTTACTCTATGGGAGAATAATGTGGCAGTGTGCTTCCATAAAGGTTTACAACCTTGGAAACCCTATCGGACACTTCTACTCTGTCTTCCAAGGTCCCTGTGAGCTGGAATTGACTTGACAGCAATGGAGTTGGTTTGGTTTTGGTTATCTTTGGCAAATAGATCATTAAATGTTCCTACCAGCAGCAGTAAACATCTTTCTGGTATTCTTTGCCTTGAGCCAAGATCCATCTGACAACAGCTATGATATCCCTTGTTCCACGTCCTCTTCTGAATCCGGCT